CGCCGCGCGTCGCCGCCGTCGACAACTAGCTCGACCGCCGCGCCGTCGTCCGCCAGTCGCCGCCCCGACCGGCTGGTCTGCCCCTCTGTTCCAGATCTCGTTTCCCGACCCCTTCCGCGCGCGTGTCTTCCACTGCGCCGCTGTTCGCCGCCGCGCGCCTCACCGCCCGTCTGGCCGGTGTTCCCGTCGACCCGGAGCCGCTGTCCGTGCCGCCGATCGTCCCGAGCCGACCGTCCCCGTCACTCCTTTCTCTTCTCTCTCTCCCTCCGGCTTGGGCCAGATCTGGCCGTGTCGGCGCTGCTCGCCGCCGTGAGCCGCCGGCCAGCTGTCGCCTGCGCTTCAGCCACCGATCGCCACCCCACCGCCTGGCCGGCCACCCAGTACCGCCCCCTCCCCTGCTTCGGCCAACCCAGCGCCTCCCCTTCCCTTCCCCTGTTCTGCCCTCGTCGGCCCTATTCCCGTCGCCGCCGTGGGCCGCCGCGCGACGCCGGAGCTGCTGCCGTCCCGGCGAGGCCTCGGCTCTCCCTTGCTGCCGCAGAGCTGCTGCCGCCTCAGCCGGACCTCCTTGCCGCCCGGCTGTGGCCGAGAGCCTCGCCAATCGCCGCCGCCGTCGCCGTTCCGACGATTTCCCCGCTGTCCAGCCTCGTTTTATTGCTCAAATCGAGGTAAGCAACTCCTAAACTTCGTCTAGGACATTGGGTACTAGTAGACTTGTTTAGGGACCAACTAGCGTGGATTGAGGGCTGTTTAAGGACTGATTGGGTTGCTAGATTGGTGGACTGATTATGGCGGGATTTTGAATCGTTTATGGCTGATTTGGTGATGGATTTTGGCGGGCCTCGATGACTGGTTTGATGGAGTGACATCGATCGGGTTATCGGGTGAAATGTGTGTTAAATCGTGTTGGAATGGCGAGCTAGGTTGCGGTCGAGCGTTGCCGGAGGGGTGGGCTGATTTGGTGCTCGAATTGCGTATGTTGCTTGTTGTTTTGATGGCTGGATCGTAGCGGGATGAGGAAGTGACGGTTGGGTTATTGAATGAAATGCGGATTAGAATGTGTCGGAGTGGCGAGTTGTGTCGTGGGGAATTATTGTTGGGTTAGTAGGTTGATTTGATACTCGATTGTTGTTTAATCTTCGCTGTTTTTATGGCTGGTTGTTGTTGCCTCGAGCTGACCGATTGCGAGTGTGCATTTGTGACTTTAATTGTTAGAATCTCGGTTGTTTAATGTGTCGGAATGATGAATGAATTGTGGCGCGCGGGCTGATCTTGGCTGAGTTGATTTAATGTTATTGAAGCTTGAATATGGCGTGGAAATTGATTGAATCACGTGGCGTATGTGATTGTGGCGTATGTGATTGTCCAAAGGTCACTGGGGTGTTGGCCGGGACAGAGCCGGATTGATCGGAGGCGGCACTGGCAGGGTGTTGACCCGGGTCGTGTGAAAGTAAGAAAGGTCTGTGGGGTGTTGACCGGGACGAGCCGGATTGATCGGAGGGCGACGGTGGGGTGTTGACCGGGTCGTGTGAAAGTAAGAAAGGTCACATGGGGTGTTGACCGGGACGAGCCGGATTGATCGGAGGGCGCTGTGTGGTGTTGACCCGGGTCGTGTGAAAGTTTATTTTTGAAAGGTCCTGTGGGGTGTTGACCCGGGACAGAGCCCGGAATGATCGGAGGGCTGACCTGTGGGGGTGTTGACCCGGGTCGTGAAAAAGTTGGATGGATGCGCATGTGTTTTGTGCATGGATGAATTGGGTGAACGTACGTGTGTATGGCGTTCGAGTGATTGTGATGGACTTTTGGGATATTATTGCATTATCATGATTTGACTAATGTGCAGTGTGGGCATGTGATTGGATGGCGAGGTAAGTCCATTTATGTGAATTATATTTATGTAATCGGTTAGATTGCATGCTGAACTTGTCTGGGTACGCTTTGGCCTATGCGGGGTTTAGGGGTCTGCTTATTGAGATTTATCTCATTCCCGTTGTTAAACATTTTCAGGTTTTGGAAATGACGGTTAGTCGTCGCGTGCGGTCCAGAGACCAGGAGTACTTGGGCATTTGATGCCCGTTCATCTTCTGGATACCCCCTTTTGTGCATAGTGAAGTAGGCCACCCAACCGTCGCCCCCTTTTGTTAAATGTGGCCTTGAAGCTAGTAACCTAGATTTAATGTTGTAAGTGACTGTCAGTTTTATAACATGCGTTTGTTGATTTGTGCCTATGCTATCCCGTTGTCATTGTCTTTTGTCTGGGTTGTTTCTATTTCGCTTTCGCTTGCCTTTATCGTTGGGTGTTTCGTTTGGGTCTGCGACGCGTCCTGGGACGTCGCATTCAATGATTGACCATCGAGGGGTGTCGCGAGCCCGTTGGGGTTCGGGGCGTGACATCCCAGTCCCTCAAATCAGCATCTGGGAATAAGCTAAACATAAGCTATAACATTCCTGAAGCTAAAGTTGTAAAAGATCAAATTTCTTATAAGACTCCTTTTCTTCTTGTTAAAAACATTAAACAAAATGTTATTCTGGGATCACCTTTTATTAATTTAATTCAACCTTTTAAAGTTTCTGAAAAGGAATTGAAACTGAAACATTAGGCAAAAAGATATGTTTTGATTTCATTTCAAACCCCAAACAAGAAATTTAAATACTCTTCAAGAACATTCTATTTCTGAAATTAATTGTATTATTCATGATAAAGAAACTCATCTTCAATTTCTTAAAGAAGATCTTGAATACAAAAAGATTGACAAAAATTTCTCCGAAACAAGTCTTCAGAATAAGATTTCCAATCTTGAAAAACAAATCAAAGATTCCATATGTACAAATATTCCAAATGCTTTTTGGTCAAGAAAATGTCATATAGTTAATTTACCTTATGAACCAGGATTTTTAGAAAGAGATATTCCTACTAAAGCTAGGCTTTTTCAAATGAATCACGAAGTTCTAAATTTCTGTCAAAAAGAAATACAAGAACTTCTAGAGAAAAAGCTTATTAGGAAAAGCCAATCCCCTTGGAGTTGCTCAGCTTTCTATGTCAACAAAAATGCTGAACTAGAAAGAGGAGTTCCAAGATTGGTAATAAATTATAAACCTTTAAATATAGCTTTAAAATTGATAAGATACCCGATACCAAATAAGAAGGATTTGTTGAATAGACTTCATGATGCAAAGATATTTTCAAAATTCAATATGAAATTAGGCTTCTGGCAGATCCAAATTAGCAAAAAGGATAGGTACAAAACAGCTTTTACTGTTCCTTTTGGCCAATATGATATATATATATATATATATATGTATGTGGTATACTTAGAAAATAGTTTGCCACCTAGAATGTAGATCGGTAGAATTAGGCTCCTCATTACAAGATAAGGTTTTGGTACTTTCCAACAAAGGGGGAAATTATCAAGAAAAATCGTCAACATATTGCACTTGTAAGACGACTGTACATCCACGTAAGTAATTTCTGATCAAAATTGGCTGGAAAACTCAATTGACAACAAAACATATATCTACTGATTTATTATCCCTTATCTTTCTCCTCTCTCTTTATATTTTATTATTTAGGCTTTGTTTATTTTGCGGAAATTTTTTTTCGGAAAAACATATTCCTCATTTTCAAGCGTTTGTATCGCTTAGAAAAATGAGTCAACAGAAAATATTTTTCTAGTAACGGAAAATGTTTTCTTACCAAAGCATTCAGGAAAATAATTTCCTCTTTAAAAATTCAGAAATACTTTTCCAAATTATGATTATGTATTGGTACTTGAACTATAAATTTTATGTTTGGGCATGGGAACCCCAAATCTTGTTCTTGATCCTTTGGCAGCGAGACCGAGTCCTCAGTGCCCGAGCCTAGGTCCTCGACACCTTAGCCCAGGTTAATCTAGATCGCGCCCGAGACCCTGGCCGCCACACCTGGGTCCATCGAGGGTGCTCGGGACACTAGGCCGAGTTATATCGAAGCCGAGCCCGGGTCCTCGAGCCCATACACGAGTCCATTGAGGCCATGCCTCGGACCTAGTGACCTAGTGCCAATGCATAGGTCCCCGACTTACGAGACCAAGTTCATCGAGGCCAGGCCCGAGATTCTTGCACCCATGCTTGGGTCCCCCCGCGCCTTAGTCCATCGAGCCCCTGTGCCTGAGCCCTGGTCCATCTAGCACCGAGCTCGGGCCCAAGTGCACGGGACCAAGGCTTGGCCTTGATGGACTCGAGTATGGGCACCAAGGTCTCGGGTTTGGAGACATGGGATTAGGTCTTGAAAGTTGGGTTTAGGACCCGGCCTTGATGACCTGAGCACAGGCATTGGTATCGGTACTGGAGTCCCAATCCTGGCCTCAATTGCCCTAGGTCCAAGAGCCAGGGTCCTGGTCCCGGGCGGTAGTTTCCAGAGCATAGGTCTAACCGAGGCCTAGGCGCTGTGGACTTGGGCTCGGCCGCGATCGATCGAGGCTGGGGCGCAAGGAGTCGGGCATGAACATCAATTTCTCGGGCTTGGTTTCATTGGATCCAACACCAGTGCCCATCCTCATGCTCGAGAGCCAGAGATCTGGGCTTGTGCCCATGCCGAGTTCCTTAACTACCTTTGTGCAAGTTACCATCGCATGAATAGTATAGATCAATTTATGAAAAATGAGATTTTCACTGTCAAACGACGAAAAATATTTTATAGATCGTTTTCAACACTCAGTCAAAACCGGAGAATTTTGTCATTTTCCTTAAAAATGACTTCTCGAAAAATATTATCCAAAAATGTTACATTTTCCGTGAAGCAAACGGGAGAAGTTAGCAATTCTCGTTACACAAATTGTTTCTTGTTCAAATTGCCATAGAACTCGATTCACCGCCACGAAATAAGCACATGTAAGTGCACTGCTGGAGATTTGGCCGGCCGGTGAGCTCGGGAAAAAATTCACTACAAACTCTCTTTCGAGGAAAAAAAAATCCCAATTCGAGTCTTGATTTTGGAATTTTTATCAAACGAAATGAAAAAGACCAAAAAAGGGCAGGAAATGATCCTCCTCCAGTCAAACGAACACTCGCTCGTCTCTCTCGCCGTCTTCAAGATTCCCCCCTCAGATGCCCTAGCCCCACACAGCAATGGCGACAGACGATCCTCCGTCGCACAACTGGCTGGATCTCCCGAGGGAGATCGCGACGACGATCCTCCTGAAGCTCGGCGCCGTGGAGATCCTCACGACGGCGCAGAAGGTGTGCACATCCTGGCGCTCCATCTGCGCGGACCCCGCCATGTGGCGGTCCATCGACATGCGCAACGCGGGGGACCTCTCGGGCATGGACCACGACCTCGTCGCCATGTGCCGCCACGCCGTCGACCGCAGCCACGGCGGCTGCGTCGACATCAACATCGAGTACTTCGGCACCGACGAGCTCCTCAAGTACACCACCGACCGGTAATTCGCCGATTCACCCTTGAATCCGCGCAGATTTTGTATTTGCAACGCGTGGTCTGGTTCTTACGCATACGTTGTCGGTGGAGAGAATTGAAATGATGGTTAATCGCTCAGGATGAGCTTGTTTCGGTATTGGCTGGTCGGTTGTTGGAGACCTGCATTTGCGGTGGTCCCAAGAGTGTATACCATTGATGTCTTTCGGTTGAAGTTGTATAGGAATCGTATAATTGTTAGGGAATCATATTGAGCACGAGTTTACTTCTCTTTGGGAAGCGAAGGTATAGATATGAGGCTTCAAGGGGTCCTCAGGAAGTGAACATTCTGCACACTTGAAAGTCCCTTTTTCCCCTCTTGGTCAGTGTCCTCAAGAATTGAAAAAAAAAAAACGAGAAGACGAACACGCCAGATGTTGAGAACAAATTGTACTTGGAAAACTCTCTTTCTTGTACTTAGAGGTTTGCCCTGTTGCATGACTGGATTTAGTGGATCTTAAACATTAGGTTGATTTGGTACTTCTGCGTTATGTTAGCTGTCTCATTATATACAAGTGAGATGTCGACTCAATCAGCTACATGCTCCGGAAACTAACTTATGAAAAAATCATGCATGGAAATTGAGTTCTGATCCTGCAATAGCTCCCAAGAACAAGGGTTGAGAGTTTTACGTGAAAGGGCACCACCTTTGTTACTTTCTCTCTCCTTGGGAGTTCTCAAATGGCTTCTTTATGCTGTCTCAACATTCCGTATGTTCAGCCTCGGTGTCTTTCATTTTTTGCTGTTATTTGAAACTACCTTAGGAGGAGGCAAAAGTTCAACCCAATTAAAACCATGAAGGAACACTGAACTGAGGTTGTAAATATCCCAATACAATGCCATCTGATGAGTATTGAGCATTACTAAATGAAGTGAGGAATATGAATCGTGACAGGGCTTCCATAAGTTCTTGATATGGCAGAAGCGCTTCTATTTTACTTCACTTCGGGATCTTCTTTCTCTGTGTGCTTTTGTTTCCTTTTGATCGGTTTTATGCGACACATTTCCTCTCGTGTTTGCTACTACTAGTTATGGGGAGAAATCGTTTAAAGTTTGGTGCAGTAGAAGGCATATAAGTCAACAAAATAGGGTATAGCCATGTAGGTCCATCACCTTCTTGGGCTTCTGATTAAGGACAAGTGTAGCTTAAACCCATGCTTGCCAAAGCACTTGAGTATGGTTCAGGTTCCGGTGATATCATTCTTAAAACGGTTTTTCCCCTTATTTTGATCAGCGAAGAAAATATTCTAGTTTAATTCACTGTGGCATTTGCCTTCTATTTCCTTGTCCAGACTCTGAGCTCTGTCCTCATAATTGAGTTTTCATTGAGTTTGCAGAGACAGTTTAAATTCATTTGATGGCATTTATGTAGGTCTTGGATAGGTACATAATTGTCTTGATCTGACCAGTGGATGGCACTCTCAGTGTTTGATTCCGGAGCATACAACTAAAGTTACTACTTGAGTTATTGCCATTGGCATGGAAGCTTTACGTTTTGGAGTCCTTTTGGTTCTTAACATGAGTTGTAGAGTCTAATAGCTTTAGGTTTGCTTTTGTCAATAGAATTCCTATGAATGAAGGTTTTTATAAGGAGTCTTGTTAACGAGTGCCTCTGGTATACTTGTTGACCATTGTTAACCGTACATAATAAGGAAAGGTTTTTATTTCCAATATGCTAATTATACATGACACGAGAAAGAAGTGCATTAGAATCGACAAACTTTCTTTATTGAGGGGTTAAAAAAGCGCCCATGGGCACTTTTTGAACAAAATCTTTTATATGTCAGTCCTTAGATCTGTGGTCAGATTAGCTCTCTTTATTGACTGAAGTTTCTCTCTTCAAGGGAATTATTCTTTCTTTTACCTAGCGTTGAAGTCCAGAAGAGAGCTTTTGGATGGTGTTTGATTGTTGACTGCTGGAATTTTTGCCAATGTCATGTTTATTGTGGAACGTTTCTTATAGTTTGAGACTGGAATAGAGCATACTTTCCATTGATTTGATTTAGGTTTTGAATTTAATTTTTTTCTTGATGTCTTGATTCGGTGCCTTCCTTTATATTTGTTTTCAAAAACCTTCTATACAATTTTTATGTATTCCATGTCATGTTCTTATTTCTGATAAATATGGCAGTCTTGCTTATTAAAAGGCTATACTGATAGGTCACTAGTGGACCAAGCATTGCATCTCTCAATTGCATAGGTCTCTGTTTAGTTTACATTCTTGTGATGCCATGGGCATTCAAAAGCGGACTTCCTGAACAAAAAGTTGCATAGTTGACTGTTTTGAACATGACTTGAAAAAAATCCAATGAGAGGCTGCAACCGTAGAGTATCCTTGTGATCTAAGGTTCTGGCTGATTTAATCATCTTTCCCTATATATTGACATGTCTTGTTAACGAGTGCCCGTGGGGCACTTATTCAGCATACTACATAAGGAAAGTTCCATTTTCCGAAACACTAATTACACACTTCACTAGAACATTTGTGCATTAAAACTTGCAATGTTCCCTTAATTAGCCACTTAAGAAGTTTTTTTTTTGGTTGAAAGCCACTTAAGAAGTTCCCTAGGGATACTGATTAACAAATTCCTTTTGTTATATTTTTGGTCGAAAATTCCTTTTGTTGAAATACAATACCTTTTTGCGCTGAAGAAAATAATCTCTCTACAGTCTGTGCTCTAGATCAATAAGCTCTCAATTCATTATTTTAGTTGTCAACATTATTATTGCTACTCCGGAACATGTCTGTTTTTCGGTTGAGCCATCATTGTTCTCATGCATTTCTTATTCCATTACAGGTGCAATCATATTAGACGTCTACGACTTGTATGTTGCAATAACATTTCGGATGAGGGTCTGTGTGTAGCAGCCACAAAACTTCCTTTGCTGGAGGTCCTTGAATTATCTTATTGCTTATTCTCGAAGGAAGCCCTAGAGACTATTGGCCAATGTTGTCCCCTTCTGAAATCCTTCAAATTGAATAGCCAGGGATATAGATATACACACATGGAGTGTGATGATGAGGCACAAGCTATAGCAAAAAACATGCATGGATTACGCCACCTCCAACTCTTCGGGAATAAGATGACAAATGAAGGTCTGAAGGCGATTCTTGACAGTTGTCCTCATCTTGAGCATCTTGACTTGCGCCGGTGCTTCAATGTTAATATTGGGGGTAATTTGGGGAAAAGATGCACCGAACAGATCAAAGATTTAAGGCGTCCATATGACCCCACAGATGACTATGAGTTTGATGCTACAATTCACGATGAGGAGTCCTTCGATGATGATTACCCATCTGGGTTTTCTGACATTGATTTGTCTGATTATGATAACTACTATGAGTTCTCTGATTATGACGACTTCAGTGCGTATGGGTTTCTATATGATTAGTGGTTTGCTGGTTGTATGGTGAGGAACCGTTCTCTTGCTTTAAGTCGCAGAATGATTTTGCTACGTGGTTCTACAAAGCTTTTCGTGGCAGTCTGTTATGATGTACCGTTTTGATGATTTTGTTCTGGATATGCAGGTGAAGATTCTTCTTGGTTGATGAGACTTCGTACCATGCTTCGAGGCAGAGATGGTTGAACGCCGATCCTGTATGCCTTCTGGTGTAGCTTTTGACCTAAACTTTGCAAGTGGGAGTCTTTCCTATTTGTTGATGAAGAGAATCGCTCATGGATCAGCTCTCCCCAAGAAGTGCATTCTTTTGTTCCTTTTGTTCTGATCTCTGCAGTTTATATCTCCAGAACATGTTTTGTGACTATGACCTATGTTTTCTGCATATAGTTCTAGTGCTTAGTCTTGTTTTGGCATCTGTGACATTGGTGTGCCAACTGCAGTTGGGCATGATAATGATAAACCCCTATATCTGATAATCGGATATTGGGTGTCATTGTGCAGTTTCGCATAAAATATATATTGTGTTCTTAAAATGATTATCAGAAAACCACTTTTGTCATTCCCATACATGAGGATCTTGTAATGTTGAATGTAGCAGCAAGTTGCTTTGCTTGTTTTTTTTTGTCAAAGCTTTGCTTTTGTCATTGTGCAGTTCCATCAGCAAGTTGCTTTGCTTGTTGAGCACTCCCATTTTTGGACTAGTAGATTGCGTTGCTGTGTCGGTGCCAATTTTATTTTCTGATGGAATTGCCTATTAGGAAAGAATGAACATTTAACGTCGTTGATGTTAATGAGATAACATACTGCCTATCTTATATTTCTTGTGGTGATTTAGCAATCATGTTTATTAACATGAAACACTAATCAACACACACGTCTTTAAAATTAAGCAGACAAGCAAAAACTAGTACCTTGTTGACATGATAAATATTGTATAAAAGACTCTTGAAACTAAAGATGATTAGATAGACGAAATCACATCAATAAATCATCTCACCAATGTTTCTTCTTAGGTTGCATTACTGCACGAATCAAAGCAATTTGTGTCTGATTGGAATTTGAAAAGTCCTTGTTCATTGCGCCTTTGGAATTGGAGCTAGGCATTTGGATTTCACAGTAATCAATTTTCACTTCCCCATGGCACAAGACATACAGCCCAAAGTCTGTCAATATGGAATCGAAGAGGTAGGAAGAAAATACATGTTGACTTTAGATGGTGTCACCCTAGTATGGGCAAAGCAGGAGGTTTGGCTCTACTTTTGGCAATCAGAAGTTAAATCTACGAGAATTTGTAGTTAGCGAATGGCCCATTGCACTATCAGTGTGTCGATTACCGTGTAGGCCGCAAGCTCAGACGGTGCTTTCTTTTGTGTATGGATCTCCATATGACGGTTGCAAATAAAATCTCTGTGGGAAGTCCGGTACAAGATCCTTTGGATGCAGTTTCAGAGAAATTCATGTGGAATATCGAGAACTTCATAGCATCCTATACGAACAGAATAAGACTGTTTCGAAGTTCTTATGCCCCAGTACTCACCAAGAAGCAATGCAGTGGAATTATTCTCATGCCTATCATGCCACCAGAGATGCCAAACACAACGCATTAGATGAGTAAAGGGGGAATCAGCTAGACTAATGGATTTTTCCTAATATCCAGGGGGATTTCGAAGAATCTTATCTTGTAGGCACGTGGCAACCAGATGTTAGCTCTGACGAAGATCTTGATCTTGACCAAGTTGATAATTCCATAATTAAATGAGGGAATCTTTCAGAGGTCACATGACTCTTTTAGTAAAATTAAAGTTGTATGCTTTGTCATATGTGTTGCGACCTCACCTCAGAGTGAATCACCTTGGGGTTTGGCTTATGGATTACTAAGCATAAACTTAACTCGGATTTTCCCAAACTCATCAATTCACAACTTAGTTTCAAATTCTTAACAAGCAAAATCATTTTAATTCGAAGTCGCCACTAATCTATTTTTTGGTGGGTCAATTAGAAATCCAAGTAAAATATCAAGAGAATTATTTTACTCCTATAAATCGGGAATTATGAATTTGGGGACTTGATTGCGCTAGTTAAGGCGCGCATGGAATCCATTCTGGAGCAGAAATTCTGCTCCAGAATGCATTCCGGAACAGAAATGCGTTTGTTAAAATAATTTTGGAATGCATTCTGGAGTAATTTTTGCATTCTGGAATAAAAACGCGTTTGGTAAAACTTCATTCTTTTTTTTGCTCTAGAATGAATTTTTGCTTCCAGAATGAGTTTTGGCCCAAAAAAGAGAAGCTACTTTTTGTAGCTTCTCTCTTCCAGAATGCATTCTAGCCCAAATTTCCTTTTTTACAAGAAATAAAAAATTTAAAAAAATCAAAAAATCAAAAATTTCAAAATTTCACAAAATGGCTTAGAATACCTGTGGCCATCCACTTTGAGTGAAATTTAAATTTTTTGAGATGCCAAAAAAAATCAAAAAATAAAAAATTTCAAAATTTCACAAAATGGCTTAGAATACCTGTGGCCACCTACTTTGAGTGAAATTTAAATTTTTTGAGGTGCCAAAAAAAAAGAAAAATAATAAAAAAATAAAAATTTTCAAAACTTCACAAAATGGCTTAAAATACCCGTGGCCACCCACTTTGAGTGAAATTTAAATTTTTTGAGGTGCCCAAAACAAATAAAAAATAAAAAATTTCAAAACTTCACATAATGGCTTATAATATCTGTAGCCACCCACTTTGAGTAAAATTTAAATTTTTTGAGGTGCCCAAAAAAATAAAAAAATAAAAAAATTCAAAACTTCACTAAATGGCTTAGAATACCTGTGGCCTCCCACTTTGAGTGAAATTTAAATTTTTTTAGATGCCCAAAAAAAATTTAAAAAAATCAAAAATTTCAAAACTTTACAGAATGGCTTATAATACATGTGGCCACCCACTTTGAGTAAAATTTAAATTTTTTTAGGTGCAAAAAAAATCAACAAATCAAAACAGATTTCTGTTCCAGAAATCAATTTCTGGAGCAGAATTAGTCATGTTTTACCAAACAGATTTCTCCTCCAGAAATCAATTTCTGGCAAGAATTCCAGAAATCAATTTCTGGCAAGAATTTGATTTCTGGAGCAAAATGGTTACCATTCGCACCCTTAGACACTCAAGAGCGCTAAAACCTTCCGACGCAAAAAGCATGGTGTGAAGAAGAACAATGCCAAGATGAAATGTTGTAATTGTGGCAAATTGGGTCACTTCACTCGTGAATGCATTGAGCCGAAAGAGGTATCAAATTATTCCATTACTTTGCGTAATGCTTTTGTTTCTAACACTGTAATGTTTACCGAATCTCATCCTATGTGGACTGAAGACTCAAGAGCCACGTACCATGTAACTAGAGACCAAGGAGTAGGGGTGTCAATCGTTCGGTTTGGTTCGGTTTTCTTGAAAAACCGAATTGAACCGAACCGAACCGTTAGGGATGTAGTCTTGAACCGAATCGAGTCTCACCCAAATCCAATATGAACCAAACCGAAAAACCGGTTTGGTTCGGTTTAATTCAGTTTGGTTTTGGTTCGATTCGCTTTAGCTTTAACAACTAGATCTTTAGCAAAGCTGGATGCGAAAGAAAGGCTAAACACCTCGAGGAACAATAACCAAAGCATTGCAGACCGGTTCTTCTCTCAACCCTAGCTGCCAGCCATCGAGTCCCAACCATAGGCGCCGCTCCTTGCAACGTTGCCGCCGTCACTACTCGCCATCCGCTCCCCCTCTGCTCGCGGTGTGGCCACCCATCGCTCCCCCTACCACTGCTCGCGGAGTGGCTAGCCGCTCCCCCCAGACACTGCTCGTGGAGTGGCCGCCCGTCTAGTCACTGCTCGTGGGTTGGCTGACGCTGCCCGTAGTCTCCTTCAGCTTGCCGCTCGTCCATGTGCCATCCATTCCTGCAGACCCATCGCCACGAACCGCTGACGCTGCTCCCCGTCCGCTCCCCCCTAGCCGCTGCTTGCGGCGTGGCCGCTCGACGCCAACACTGCTAGCCCAACGCAGCTCGTCGCTCATCCAATCGCTTGTCCCCTCACTCCGCTTATCACAAATCGATGCCCTCTACCACCCGCCGCTTGGGCATCTTGAAGACCCAGTTCGAACGAGAGCAGCGACCGAAGTGCAGAAATAAGCACGGATCTATCTGAAGGAGAGAGAGAGAGAGAGAGAGAGAGAGAGAGAGAGAGAGAGAGAGAGAGAGAGAGAGAGAGAGAGAGAGAGAGAGAGAGAGAGAGAGAGAGAGAGAGAGAGAGAGCACTCACCGAGAATGGATTGACCTCTTCTTCCTCGTTGAAAGGGTTGGGATCGTGGCGGCGATGCATCGTGGCAGTGGAAAGAGAGGGGATTTGAGCCATAGAGAGAGGGGATTCGCTTTTTTAGGGTAAAAAACAAAGTTATTTTTTTCGTTCGGTTTGATCCAAATCGAACTGAACCAAACCGAACCGAACCAAACTGAAATAAACCGAGTTGAAAAAAAAAATGGTTAGCTATCATTATCCTAGCTGAAAATCGAATCGAACCAAAATGCACCAAATTTTCGGTTCGATTATGTTCGGTTCATATCTTGGTTCGATTTTTCGGTTCGGTTCTGACATCCCTACCAAGGAGCATTTGTGGAGTATCGTCGGATACAACCTGAAAATAGATGGATATATGTTGGAAATAACTCAACAATTACAATGAAGGGTATTGACACATGTATATTAAATTTACGTGGTGGTCGAAATCTATTCTAACATGATGTCGTCTATGCTCTTGATATTCAGCAAAACTTGGTTTCTGTAGTTGTTCTTCTAAGTTTAGGTTATGCTTTGAATTTTCATGGTGATTGTGTTGATATTAAGTTTAGAACAGTTTATTATGGTTTTGGTCATGTACTCAACGGTTTTATGGTTTTAGAAATTGACTATGATGTATTATTCATTGTTAATGTAGATGGTTTTTTTTCTTTAATTGCATCTTCTAGTAATGTGGAAATTGATGCAAGTATTTGGCATGCTAGATTAGGTCACGTTGGGTTACAAAGAATGAAAAGATTAGCTAGAGAAGGCCTTTGAGGGTCACTTGGTAAAATTGAACTATTCATATGTGAACATTGTCTAGGAGGAAAAGCAACTAGAAAATCACTTGGTAAAAGAACCAAAGCTAAAATTTTCATTGCAACTTGTACATTCTGACATTTGTGGTCCATCAAATGTGAGGGCGAAGCATGGAGCCTATATTTCATCACTTTTATGGATGACTTCACGCGTTTCAATTATGTTTTTCTGATCTCCCATAAGTCAGAAGCATTAGATTGCTTTAGACGATATATGATTTTAATAGAGAATAAGTTAAACAAAATAATAAAGGCATTAAAAACCGATCGTGGACGTGAGTATCTATATGAACAATTCAAGTTTTTTTGTGATGAAAAGGGGATTGTAAGACATTTGACTATTTCTGGTACTCCAAAACAAAATGGAGTTGCTGAGAGAAGGAATAGAACCCTATTGGAAATGGTTAGGTTTATGATGACACATGCAAATCTACCTATCTCATATTAGGGAGATGCATTATTGATTGCTACCTATATACTTAATCATGTGTCATCTAAACCAGTCATTTTCACTCCTTATGAATTATGGACCGGTAGGAAACCGGATTTCAGTAATTTACGACCTTGGGGATATGCAACATATGTTTATGATTCTTCCTATAAATATGGAAAATTAGGTCTTAGATGGAAGAAATGTTTCTTCGTTAAATACTCTGAACACTCTCAAGGGTATGTGTTTATAGGTGAATAAGCTGATAGAAGTGTAATTGAAATGAAGTTACAAGATGTCACGTTCTTGGAGAATGACTTTCCTAATAGATTTGAGATTGATAAGGTTTTCCAATTATATGAGATGGAAAATCTCGATAACACACCCACCAATATTATTGAGGGAAATAAAGATTTACCTAAACACACAAGACTTAGTGGGAGTGTCTCATCGCCTAGTGAACTTGATTCATAAGGAGTTCAGTTACAAAAAAGTAATCGTATAAGCTTTCCCCGTCTTCGTTTTGAGATTGAAGGGGAAGCATTTATGATTGCTCCACAAGTTGATGCAAAGCCTAATACTATTGAAGATGCTCTCCTATCTCCTGACAAGGAAGAACGGAGAAAAGCTTTGGAAGATAAAATGGAGTCTATGAGAGCAAACCACGTCTGAGACTTGGTTGATCTATCACCTGAACGTAAGGCTATTGGAAATAAATGGGTTTTAAAATCAAGTGCATGACATATGGGGTATAAATGTGAACATGAAATCTAGCAAAATAACGATTTCAACAAAACTTTCTACAATTGAACATAATTAGAAGGATAATATTGGAACAAGTAGAGGAGTGAGCAGGGCCCATGG